CCCGAGCCTATCCTTGCAATTTTCTTTTCACCAAGCTTCCCAGCAGATTAAATTTTAAAATGTGTCATTTGAAACATATCCCATGGGTATCATTTCTCCTGAAATATTTTTTTTTTCCATTCAAACATGCCCGATTCTCAGAGGTTCCCTTCACAAGTCCTTGAAGTTTTCTTGAGGAGGTTTTTCAGAAGTGGCTTTGTGCCTAAAGTGGGACTAGAACTGAGTCTCCTAGTTCCTATCTAGCCTGATGCCTTAACCACTACATTAAACTGGCTCTCTCCAATCCCTAGCAATGCATTTTAATGTGACTTTTTAAAGTTATATCATTTGGTTGCTCTAATAGCAACATGTGCTATTTTTTAGATTTACAACAGGCCAAAGCAGTCAATAATAGCCCATCATTCCCTTGTGCCTTTAATGCTTATATGCAAATGAAAAGCTCAGCAGCTTAAAGTTTAATTAATATTAATAATTATTAGTTCATGATGATTAATATTATTATTAGAGTCAGGAAACATGATCAGCAGATGATAGTTGATTACATCATGCTGACTCTTGCGAACATTGTTTGAATCTATCCTCTGGCATATTCATCTAAGACTATTTGCAGTTGTCATTTGCAAATTATTTTAAGTTAAATGATTATTAAAGCAAAGCTAAACCAATTAATTCTGAAAAAAAGCCACCCTCCCCATGCCACCCAAAAGGTGACATTCTTATGTTTTTGCTCACAAACATTAATTGAAAAAAGAACATTAATTACTCATATATTTGAACACAGTTTTAGGAAATATTCCAAATACTGAATGGATGAAAGCTTTTTTCTAGTTTAGTAAACTGGTAACAAGACTGGAGGGGAAACGGGCAGTTGCGAATTTAAAAGAGATTAGAATTGGAAAGAAAGAAAAATTCTAATCAGTTATGTTAAACAATAAACAAGGACATAATTCAGGCTAGGTTTATGGCTTAGTTTTGAAAGGAATATAATCTGTTTTGGGGTAAGTTCAATTACCTCTTTGAAAATGAGGAGTGATATCTCTGAAATTGCTGTTTTGTGAAAATCTCCCACATTACAGGTAGTCCTTGAGGTACGACAACAATTGAACCCAAAATTACTGTTGTTAAGTGAGACATTTGTTAAGTGAGTTTTGCCCCATTTTATGACCTCTCTTGCCACAGTTGTTAAGTGAATCACTGCAGTTGATAAGTTGGTAACACAGTTGTTAACTGAAGCTGGATCCCCATTGACGTTGCTTGCCAAAAGGTTGCAAAAAGTGATCACATGACCTTGGGACACAGCAACGGTCAAAGTATGAACCAGTTGCCAAGCATCCAAATTTTGATCACATGACGCTGGGGATGCTACAAAGTTATAGGTGTGAAAAATGGTCATAAATCACTTTTCTCAGTGCTGTTGTAACTTTGAATGAACTGCTGTAAGTTGAGGACTACCTGCACTATGTTTTCAGAGAAAGTCTGGATTCTTAATTATTTTCTTTAACCTATTCAGTTTCACCAGGCCAATATTTGAGACCATAACCTCCCTTGTACATAAGCAGCAATGAAATCATCTTTTAATACCCTATTATCACCCAGAATAAACATGTGACTCAGTCTTAATACTCCCGCCTCTCCATCCAGAAAACAAAACACTTGGATGATAAGTTATTCATTTGTATCTTGGATCCTCACGGATTTCAGATTTAGAGGCAGACTCAGTAGCACGACTGGACATATTCTCAGCTGAAAATGGTTAAGGGAGGCATTCATGTCGTCCTTCCCACCTCCGTGTGTCAGATTATATGTGATTATTCCTCATCTTGATTTGTTAATTGTGAGGCACTAAACAGACTACAACCAATGCTCTGAAAAAAGACATTTCCCAACACTTTTAAAGTAAATTTCAAAGGCAACATTTCTATGCCTTGTTCAGAATTTCCAGCATCTACCAAGCTTTTGTTCTTGGGTTTGGATGGAACCAGGCAGGGTTCACTTCAGACCAGAGATAGGAAGGGATGGGATGATCCTCTTTGTTCAGCCATGCTTTTTTGACCAGTTTATAGCATTTAGACTTATATACCACTTCATATGGCTTTATAGCTTTATAGCCCTCTCTAAGCGGTTTACAGAGTCAACATATTGCCCCCAACAATCTGGGTCCTCATTTTACTGACCTCAGAAGGGTGGAAGGCTGAGTCAACCTTGAACCAGGATCAACTCTTGGCTGTGGGCAGAGTTAGAGTTAGTCAGTTCCATCCCAAGAAGGTTTTCTACTATGCTGTTTCCAACATCAGCAGCCCATGCCTTTCTGCGGAGCTGCCCTGTCCACTTTCTGGCCAGGATTTTTCAATGGTATCTTACCCACATTGTTTAGCTTTGAGGACGAACCCCTCAGCCAGATATAAATGCTCCTTAATGAGTATTCTGACTTCCTTCCAACTCTGCTATTCTGTTAAAATAAAAATCCCATAGAGGATTTTGACTAAGCCAAATCAAACAAATCACATTATGGCTTGTCAACCCAGCCAACCAATAAAATTGAATTGTAAAGCAGAATGCAGTCTAATTGTGTCATGCTATAATTCAATTCACTGGGCAGTTTAGGTTTTAAGGGGGGGGGCTATTTTAGGGACAAAATGCATGTGACACCATTCACCCCGACAATAGTAATTCATAGCCTCAACACCTCTTGTGCAGGTAACTGTAGCACACGCTACACAGTGGTGGGATTCAGCCGGTTCGCACCACTTTGGCAGAACCAATAGCTAATTTTTTGTTGCCCAGGCCCAGAATGGACTTCTGCAAGCTGCATCCACACAGAGAATCGGTTGTTCACATATTTGAATCCCACCACTGACTCTACATAAGGGCCCTTAAAGATCACCTGGAAACTTCAGCTGATCCAAATGTAGTGGTGGTTAAGGGAATAACAGCAAATTCAGCAACATTTATGCTATGGTCACTACATTGGCTATCATATTGCTTCTGGAACTAATTCTGGATATTAACTTTCTCTCCTAGGTTTAGCCCAATACATGCTGACTGCTGAAGGAGGCTATGACTCCCAACAAGACTGGCCCCCTGCTTTGGAATACCCCAGTAATGGAGATAAGGAAAGTCCCCTCCTTTCAGACTTTTAACAATGTTTTAAAATCTCTATTGTTCCACGTGTTCCACATAGGCCGTGATTACTATTTTAGTTGTCTTTTTCAACTGTACATCACCTTGAGTTTTTTGTTATAATTGTATACATAAATAATATATAGAATATTCTAGAGAGTCATATTCTCTTGGAGCAAAAAACAACAAAGAATTAGGGGGCATCTTAAGGACTAATGACTTTATTATCCCAGAAATTGCCATGGACTGCAGTCTCATGTTATATTTTATTAGCCTATACAAAATGTACAACTACACAAAGGTCTGACCTGCAAAGCAATAGCTATAATAATAAAATATAAACTAGTTAGTTATACTTGTAGTTATGATTCCACTGGATCATATGATGCGATAAACTGTAATAAGGATCTTTCAAATATCCAAAGACCTTAACAAGGTTAGTGTTCATTATAAGCCATGAAATTCAGACATTGTCATGGTAAAAAAATAAAAACTTGTATGTGGTCTGTCTTAAGATTTTATAAGAATGGCTAATACGGATGCAGCATTTTTTCCCCTGAAGTCACTAATGAAACATTAATGGATATTTTTGTCCCACTGGATTTGAAACCTAGAGTTGGGTCTCAGATTTCTTAGGTTCCTAGTTTTCCATCTTTCATATATGAAGTTCCACAAATCCTTCCATCAAAGAGCTTGAATCTCACCAAGTTAGAAACAAAAAGCCCATTTTTTAGTTACTGTATGTTTTAAGGTCATGTCAAAAACAGTAATATTGTTGAAAATAATGTTTATTGCTACAATTATAGCGGACAGGTAATTTGAGCTGATTTAGTGAAAGAATCATCTCTTAAACACACATCAGGAAATACATTAAAAGAGAGAGAGAGAGAGATTGTTAACTAATACAAAATATTATTTTGTTTTCTAACTTCTCTGAGACAATTCCAATTCTCAGTTCGAGGAAAGATATTGTTAATTTGCTCAGTTCTCCATGTTCAACCAAAGTGACTCTTTTGCCCTCCTTCTCTTTCTCCTGGGGTCTTTCCCAGTTATGAAATAAATTATGTCCCATTTGCAGTTTTCCCCCTGCTTGCACATAACTGCAAGCAACATCTTTTTATACTATATTCCCATGATGTTACTTTCATATTCTTCTCAGTTCATAAGTTAGACAGGCTTAAATCTCCCTGAGCTAAAGTACATCAATGTTAATGTAGTGTTTTCCCACTTCTCCAGCATTATCTAAAGGTAAACTCAAAATGTATAGGTTTTGGCCTAGGAAAGGGAAGTCAGATAACTAGGAATAGAGGTGTCCAAAGTAGGATATGGATCTGTTATAGCTTTATATTGGCTCAAAGATGAATGGAGAGCAACAGTTCAGCAGTGGGGAAAAGTCCTTAAGCCCCTTCAGTATACCACCAGTGGGACATGGAACAGTGGCTGAGTTATATTGTTCCAAGCAATTAGATTTAATAGTAGAAATCAATAAAACATTGTCCCAAGCAACTGAATGTAACAATGGAAGCCAATAAAAACATGTCTTCTTGTAAAGGATCTCAGAGGGGTTGTATGAGAAAGCACATGTTATAAACTGGTGAGTGAGGTGTGAGAGAATTTTCATTGTTTAAATATCATTTCATTATTTGATTATAATTTTCCAGTGCAACTTCTGGCCCCTTCCAATTCAGATATATTTTTTTTTTGCTGCTATTGCAAATGTTCAGAAACCAGTTATATCCAGCTGTATCCCATTATGCACATAAAATTGAGTTGCTCATCAGTTGGTAATACATTTTATTAAGAACATTTTTACTTTTCAAATAACCGTTAACCTAGAACCTGATTACCTGAATTTGTTGTGAACTTTCCTTCTAGGCCTGTTCAGGAGCTTCTTTGAAGTAGTTCTCTCCAAGTCAATTGTGTTTATATTTAGTACATATTTTGAATGCATTTCCAAAGAATCAGGACATCCATGAGGCTTACTGGATGTACATTAATCACCCACTATAAAACAATGTCGAGACTACTCTTGGATAATTTAGCAAAAGCTCCTACATATATACAGCAGTTCTTTTCCTAATAGTTATTTATCTCAATGTGCCACAATGAATTAATTTAAAGAAAACAAATATCTACAGCAATCCAGAAATTCCTACACAATGCTATAAAAGATGCCTGGATCATCCATCACACAAGCCTATGCTCTCATAGCTTGGGGGTGGAGTGTCACAGACAATGATGGCTTCATCCCGTGACGCTAAGCTTGGCTTGGGTGGAATGTTCCGAAACAAAACGCCATCAGAGGAACTGCGTCTTCGGCTGCCCAGCCCTTTGTGATTTTCCTCCACCACCTGATATAAGGGCAGCCGGATCTCCTTTGAAACCTGAGACTGCATGTCGCTGGAGGCATTTTTAGCGGGTTGGCAATTCAAAGCCTCCTCGTAAGTGGGAATACTGGTGGCCTCCCAGGTGCTGAAACAGAATCAAGACCACAAAGAAAATCAGTTGGGGTGCGCGTGTCCTAAAATTCAATATTTGATTCTAAAATAAGGTGTGCAAAGACAAGCACGAGCACTGTTATATGTTCTAGAGGAGCTAGAAGCTTAGAGGGGGGGGGAAGTATCTTCACTTTTCTGGTGTACCATAACAGAAAGAAAGAAAGAAAGAAAGAAAGAAAGAAAGAGAGAGAGAGAGAGAGAGAGAGAGAGGGAGGGAGGGAGGGAGGGAGGGAGGGAGGGAGGGAGGGAGGGAGGGAGGGAGGGAGAAAGAAAGAAAGAAAGAAAGAAAGAAAGAAAGAAAGAAAGAAAGAAAGAAAGAAAGAAAGAAAGAAAGAAAGAAAGAAAGAAAGAAAGAAAGAGAAAAAGAGGGAGGGAGGGAAGGAGAGAGAAATTGTGGTTATATATCTCTGGAGATAGCTCAGGCTGAGCATAAGGAAATTTCTATTCTATTCTATTCTGTTTAGGTTTATAAGGTTTGTAAGGATGAATGAATCTGCCAGTTTTGCAAACTCCTAAATTTAAATCTTTTACATCCCAAGTTCTTCCTCTCCCACATATGAAAAAGTATGCAGATATTAGTAAAATCTTATTGTAATGAAATTCTCATTCTCTGGCACCAGTCGAGTTCCATAAGTCATAATAATCTGTCATCACCAGCAGGAGAAACAAAATTGAGGGTGCGCTACAAGTTGCAGTTGAAGGAGGAGTTTACAGATGTTGAACACCTCGGTTCAATATAAAAGAGATGGAAGATTACACAGAGAAGGAAACCCAGTCTGGCAGAGGTGTTATCTAGTCAGGTCAATCTGACTCATAACAATCAATTACTGTACACATCACAGCCGCAAACTCCCATTTTTTCCTGCTCCGTGCAACATAACCTGGTTATCCAAACAGGGTGGGTAGGAAATCCAGCGTGCATTTGGCAGGAATTGGGTTTTCCATGACCAGTCAAAATCACAGCCTGGCCAGGATCGCTTTGCAGGCTTTGAAGAGAGAGTAAGGAAAATGGGAAAGTAAACAGAAATCTTTTCATCCTGTACCAGCAGAAACCACAATGCCTTTAAACTGGGACTGGGAGTGCCCCAAAGCCCTTACCTGCTACAGATATTACATTAGAAACACAGAGGTTGAATGTGTATGATAGTTGTCTTACCCATTCAGCCTCTGAAAGCGAGGTAAGAAGCAGATCGTGCTGCAAATTGCTTCAGTGCTAGTGTAGTATTTACCCACAATGGATCCTCAGCTTTCTCCACACTTTTAAGAAACACCCAGTATCAAAATGCAAAGGTATGTCCACTGATTAATCTTTACTGCATGGGCCATAAAACATGAAACGTGCCCATTTTTTTCTGTTGTATTTTACTAAACAACATGGTTTGTGTACAGATAAAACTTTCACATAACCTTTGCTCATCTCATTTCCTCTTTTTCAAGGGGAAAATAATTTAGAAGTGGAAATAACTATGAATAGGGATTGTTGAAATCATCATGAAACCAGACTAGTCAGGCAGAGACTGCTCTACCTAGACTAAAAGGGAAAAAATGGGGAAAATTGCTGTAATGTAGTATGTAATCATTGTTTCATAATCTCTGGTATGCAGAATTAATTGGAGAAAGTAATTTCATTGTTAGGTATAAGAGTTATATTTTTAATCTCACCCTTTCCCAATGCTGGGAGAAGGGGGGACGACAAGTGAATCAAATTTCTTTGTGAGAATCAAAATTCTAACAATTCAACCATCTTGAGGTTTCACAATCATATTTAAAATGGGCTAATAATATTCTTATTGTGTTACTGTTCTGTTTTGCAGAAACTAATACACTAAAACAAAGTGCCTCAATATGATACCCTCCTGAAATTTGGACTATTGTTCTTATTGTGTCCAAACACTTGCTGTGCTGGCTGAATATTATGGAGTGGTAGTCTAGTACCTAGCTGTCCTTGTTTTGTCTCCAAAGCTAAGCAGGGTTAGGACTGGTTAGAACTTGGGTGTAAGGTTTGCAAAGAATGAGGGGCTATTGGCTAGACTAGGAATTTGAAAAACATCCCAGAAGGCAATGGCAAACCACTTCTATATTGACAGGTCCATGAAGTTACCAAAGTCAAGCTTAACTTGAAGAATTTTACAACCACGTGCAACACATTTATAAGTCATGAAACTGAGGTAGACTATAAGGGAGACATTAATCAACAAGCATGATCTTTGGTTGAGAAAGGCCTAATGGCCTGCAAGAGTAAATGTGGTTTTGGGCTACCCCAAGCTAAAAGTCTTGAAAGGAACACCTGTTTCAGAATGCCATTTGGCTAGATGGCTTCTGTCAAATTAACCTTCTATCCCTCTCTTCTCTTGTATGATGCTTCTCTTGAAGTAACACTTCCTGACAATTATTTGCTAGGCATGTCAAAAGGACTATGTTGATCTCTCAGGCAGGGCTACAAAGATCTTGCTAACCTGCATGTCTGCTTTTCAAGAGGCTCGACGGTGGAGTACTGAAGGTCACTGGAAAAATGGTACTGGTAGTGCCGGGAAATTATTCCAGCATTGGCTGACCAAAGGAGTCCAAACAGAAGAAGCAGCCCACCAATTCCACAACAGAAGAAGCTGATTGATCTGAGTACAGGACTGGAAGAGGAAGCCCTGGTCATAAGTTCCGTTTCTCCTTGAGTTGTGACTTTGGGGTCACTGCTGGGCGCAGTGGCCCCCATTTCACCGTCGCTCCACCAAGCAAAGCACAGTGTTCCCGTCACCAGCAGGATAGCTCCAGCGATGGTCACTCCATGACGCAAAGAAGCTATTGCCATGTTAAAAACTGAGGCCTGTGGAGATTATGAAGTACTTTAAAAGGAAAAGGTCCTGGTGACAACACTCAGGCTGGAAAAGAGGCAAGAAAACGAATGGTGAGTAGATACAAACAGATCACAAAACAAAACAAAAGCACAAACTTTAGATTCAAAGAGAATCAATTCAGATTTACTGTCTGCCTTTTCAAACAGCCCAAAGTCTTCTTAATGGAAGGAAAAAAAATCAAATGCCATTCAATAAACACTTATCCTAGGAGGCAAATTTACAGCTTTTGCTTTTGAGATCAATCAAACGGCTTTATAAATCTCTCTACGTTTTACAGCAAATTCATTTTACGTACACTTTTTATATGGCAATTGGATGAAGCCACAGAATTTGAAGGAATGAGTAAAGAGGATCCCCACTGTCTTACATATCTACCTATATCTTGATCCAAATAACACTAGGTGATCCAATTTTTACAGGACTTCATCACAGGTTCATTTTTATAAGATAAACCTTTCATTCAACTTTGCCTACTCAGAATGAAATACTGAGATGGTATTCAGTTCAGCTGAGAGCTCAGCTAAAATCTGACATTCATCTTAGTGCAATATTCCCTTGCCATATGATTTAGCATTCAGATGAAAATATTAACACAAAAATCACTTTTGTAGTTTAAAAAAAAGGTTATAAAGGGTAATCTATGAGTTCTAAGTAATTCTGGAAGAGATTCGGATTTGAGAAGCCAATCAACATCGTATAATCATATATAACAAAAATTGTGTTACGCCTTTTGATGCATATTTCAATACACACACACACACAATTCCTATCAAATCTCAAATTATAACATGACCAATTGTTGGGATTAATATTTTTTTTATTGAGCACCTGTTGATATTTTTTGGGGTATTAAGGATGGCATTATTTTTGCTACATATGCTACATGAAGTACAACCATTAACAATTACAATTACAGGTAGGGTAGTCGACCTACGACCACAATTGAGCCCAAACTTTCTTTGCTAAGTGAGACATTTAAGTGAGTTTTGCCACATTTCATGACCTTTCTTGCCACAGTTGTTAAATGAATCACTGCAGTTGTTAAATTAGCAACATGGTTGTTAAGTGAATCTGGCTTCCCCATTGACTTTGCTTGTCAGAAGGTTGCAAAAGGGAATCACGTGACACTGCAACCGTCATAAATATGAGTCTGTTGCCGAGAGCCCAAATTTTGATCATGTGACCATAGGGAGGCTGCAACGGTCCTAAGTATGAAGGACGGTCATAAGTCACATTTTTCAGTGGCATTGTAACTTTGAACAGTCACTAAACAAGCTGTTGTAAGTCGAGCACTACCTGTAGATAAAACCTCCATTGTCTTGTGCTTTGATAGCTTTTGGGCGTGGGAGCCCCTGTTTTATGGTGGTCCTCCCTTTTTCTATGTTTGGTTTTGGTTAGTATTGATGGGGTAGAGATGTCACACCTGTGTCCCCTCATTTGTGTAATGCCTTCACCTTCCTCCTACCGAACATCGATACTTTAATTTCCTGCAAATGTTCTACTGTCACTCTAATTTCTTTCTATTACCTCCACTTCTTCGGTGCGCCTTTCCCAAATTCAACTCTTGACACTAGCAAGAAATTGTCTGACTTATAAATCTCTCACTGCATATTTCACTAATCACTTTATTCTTTCACAATAAACAATGCTCTCTTATGCTTTTAAGATTTATATGCATTCCTTTGCCAGGTAAATGTAGGAAAAGACTTGCGTTTAAGTCACACATTCAGAAGAAACAGACCTTTAGCTAAGCAGATATTTGCCAAACAGTCACCATTTTGATTCAGGCTTGGTTGTCCAAAACATGTATATATACAGGTAGTCCTTGGCTTTCAACAGTTCATTTAGTGACCGTTCAAAGTTTCAACTGGAAAAAAGTGACTTATGACAGTTTTTCACACTTACAACCATTGCAGCAACTCCATGGTTATGTGATTAAAATTCAGATATTGGCAACCGGTTCATAGTTATGACGGTTGGGGTGTCCCGGGATGATTTCATCATCTTTTGTGACCTTCTGACAAGCAAAGTCAATGGGAAATTACTAACTTAACAACTGCAATGATTCACTTAACAACTGTGGCAAGGTAGGTCGTAAAATTTGGCAAAATTTTCACTTAACTGTATCACTTAGGAACAAAAATCTTGGATTCAATTGTGGTCGTAAGTTGATAGTGTACTCAACACTCTCTTGATGAACAAGGAAGACTATGGGCAGTGGGAAGTTCCCCCAACAGGGACATTCTACCGAATTTAGAAACTTGATTGTCCAGGATTTTTTAAAACCTGGGAAACTTTTATAACAGGGGTCTTCAAACTTGGCCCTTTTATGACTTGTGGACTTCAACTCCCAGAATTCCTCAGTCAGGCACGGTGGCTGAGGAATTCTGGGAGTTGAAGTCCACAAGTCATAAAAGGGCCAAGTTTGAAGACCCCTGTTTTATAGGATGGAGTTATGAAGACTTCTGTCTTCATTTCTACACTCATTTACAGAGATCATATATCAGGGGTACCCAACCCCCGGTCCATGGACCGGTACTGGGCCACGGCATGCCAACAACCGGTCTGTACAAACAAGTAAAGCCCATCTGTGGGATGCAGGCAGAATGCAAAACTATGCACTCTCCAATCCGTGGAAAAATCTTTTTCCATGCAACCAGTCCTTGGTGCCCAAAAGGTTGGGGACCTCTATCATACATGACTTAATTTTCAAAGGTTGAAGAGAGCTTAGTCAACCCTTATCTACCAACAAGTTTCCATTCCTGGAAAGAACTGCCCCCATCCAATGACCAATAATTTGCAGATTGAGGAAGATTTTATATTTTGCATATCCCATATTCGCAGCTGCTAGCACAGTAGCTAAATGTTGGAATGAAATCTCTGAAGATGCACCCTTACATCTATGTGCAATGTGAGCACTGTAATTATATGGGGGAGCTGCTAACAGTGCAAAAAGGCTGGGTGTGAATCAGATGTTAATCATCATACATGTGGTTTCAAATGAAATAAAAGGGCAAAATGAAATAAAGAAAAATAGTGTTTCAAAAACTAGCTCATTTAGCTATTCATGTCAGCAAGACATAAAAATTGCATTAGTGGTCTCTAAAGATCTCATTTTCCTATATATATACACATATATGTGTTACTCCCAAAGTTCAATTCCTGGTCTGGTCCTTACTGCCTTTTTAAGTTAAAAGTAGACCTCCCTTGGTGGCTACACATTCAGGAATTGTTTAAAGTTGTGAAAGCAGGATATTCATGACCAATCATCAGAGTTCTGACTTGCACTTCCAATGTGTACAGTGGGACCACAGTCGCTTTTTACCACCTTCCCTGTTGGCTTCTTACAAGCAAAGTCAATGAGGAAACCAGTAGGAAAGTCACAAGTCACTCTGGTAAGTCACCCCTTCCTTCCTGCGCTCGCACCCCACCCCGCCATCCATCCCCTGGTCTTCCTGCACTCGTGCACTGCCTGCTCCCAAGGAACCCCACACCCTAGTGGCATTCCTGTGCTCCTTACCTGGGGCTCTCACTGCTTTCCACTTAAATCCCATGCATCTTGTGGTTAATGGGAATGCCAGGATTGTTTTTGTTAAGCAACACAGTCATGTGACATTGCACTTTACTACCCCATCACTTAGTGATGACTGGTCCCAATTGCCGTGGTAACTTTAGGACTACTATAATGGACTTTTGGATGCTTTTTTCTCAACCTTAAAACTGTCTGCCCCCTGTTTATCAAACGTCTCTTTCTGGCATGAGAATCAGGGGTTCTCATTTCACCTGCTTCTAAAATACATTTTCTAAAACAACTTTCCTGTTGTTGTATTGATACTGTATTTCCCAGAATGAAAACAATCCATGATGATGCAGAGGGATTGAAATCCAGAAAACGTACATTCATTAAACCTATGACAAGCAAAATTGCATTTCATTTGAACTGGACTATGGGCAACTGAATTATGAGGCACTGAAAGAAATCTTGCATGATCTTATCCTTATCTAATGAAAAGATATTACAAAATCAGGTTTTATTAATATAGTGACATTAGGTTTATTAAAGCTGCAGATAGGATGACGGTGGAAGTTAATGAATCCAGTATGGGTTTTTTTTTCCAGTTCTAGATAAGCATCTCTAAACAATGAATCTTGAGTCACGGAAAATGAAGCTGCTGTAGAGCTTGTCCTTTGCTGAAGGACAAAATATATACCCTTTAGCAAAAAAATAAATAAATTCAAAGCATCTATTACTCAATTGTACCTAAAAAACAACAACAACAGAGTTCACCCCACCCTCATTAAAGTCTTGTTCTCACTATTTATTTTAATTCCCAGAAAATCTTGGTGGCACAAACTCTTACATCTATTAAATCCACTTGAATTTCTAAAGTTGGAATTATCCCTGGTAACATGTTCCACTTAGGTGGAAAAAAAGGATAACAGAAGAGCTTTTAGCTTTGAAACTGGCATAGGTCATCTTGTATCTTCGAGATATTTGGAAACCATTTGTGACCCAATGGTTAGGAACTATGCAAGTATTACTTTGAGGAAAAGGAGCATATTGCCAAAGCTGCATGACTCTAGCTTTATAACTTGATGCAAGAATTTGCTCCATTGAAACAATTCGTACTGATTTTATAGGAACGTCATGTTGTAGTTCTGTCAACTCCTTCTAAAGCCTTTGGAAGGATTTGCATTATATAGGATTGCATTAAGCCTGAGCACATCTGAACAGTATCAATTAATTAACGTTATTGAAATAAGTCTGTTTTCGGTAAATTGGATTGCGGGATCAGGCTTCTTGCATCTCAGAACTTTCATAAAGTATCTCTCAACAGCTTGGATAATCCAGATCAAACTTTTAAAGCTGAGGCTGATGTCACTGCTTCCCCTTCTAAGCCTTGTAAACAACTAAAAAGATGGAACATTCAGATTAAGGCAGGATGCATTCCTA